AAATGAAAGAAAACGCGATTCCCAGTCCCCAAAGCCGATTTTTCGCTTCCTTACTCGTCTCGAGGCGTACGTTTGTCAGATATAAATACGAGAGAAGGAATATTTCACGGTCGTTGATTCGCTCGAGACGACTTAACTTCTCGAGATTTCTTATTTTTTTCGTGAAGTGGTGTAAGTAACTCCGTTGGGAATAAAATTTTCTTCCAGTGTTCGTTATTGAATTCAAGATAAAATATTATTAGGAAATGCGTACACTTTTAAGATACTTGTTTCAAGAATAAAATTCCCCCTCCCCATTATCGAAAAATAAAATAAAGTTTTCAGAGTTATTTCTCGAGTTTAACATTTTACTTTGAGCATTAACGAATAAAATAAGATTAATAACCAAGAGTGTGAGTATAGTGAAAATAAATTCTCGAGAATCGAGAGCTCTCGATGATTATTTTTACTTTGAGAACAATAATGTCATCGACTTTCCAACAGAGAAAAATCACTCTCGAGAGCTGTACCTCCCAAATTTTATTTTATTATTTTGCTACCCTTAAGATCTTGCTCTCTTGACCGAATCTTCGTAAGGAAATTTCTTCCAATTCTCGATTTCCACGTAGATGCGTATATCGGAATGCGAAACATACGGGGAACTTTTTCCATCGATAGGGGAGAACGCGATGTAAATCTCAATTGGATTTGACGCGATCGCTGTTGGTGGAAACCTTCGACGAGGCTAAACGCATTGCACCTGATGTTATTCTCGCACGAATGATAGTCGTATAATTGGTATCAGTTCGCAGTTATCCTTATAAGGTTTCCCAATTAACATTAAGCAAGTCTATAATTCAGTTAAACATCCTTGAATACGATGATAATTCGATATATACAGTCAGGACAGGAATCCTCCCGATTCTGTATACCCGTTTCGAGTTCATTTCGAATTTGTCCGAGTTTTTTTTGAATTTAGAGAAAAAAAAAAAAAATAAAGGAACGAAAAAATTTCGATAAAATTTCGTTTAACGAGAAATAATTCGTTCATACGGTGTTGTACAAGTACAGAGAATACCGTAATTAGAACCGAGCTATTGAAAATTTCTCACAGTTTTCACAGTCAACATTAATCTTCTTTATTATTTACGTTGCGTGCTCGTGGTCGGCAAATAAAAAAAAAAAAAA